TGTCCCGCTCGTTTCTTTCAACAAACGTTCCAATTAACCCCGCCGGTCGCGATACTCGTCTATCGGGACGGCAAAAGCGAGACGGGCGGCAAATCGATGAGATCATCGCGACTATTCGCGGAACGATCGTTAAACGATCAGCACACAGTTTGCTTCGACGATTCTCTCACCAGAATGACCACCGTTTTCTTCACGGACGCAGGGCAAAGCAGCGCGCGGAGAACTAACCATTCTATCGATGTAGACACGCGACCTGCCCGATCTTTTCTAACGCAGCTTTGTACAGGGCCGCCGCACTACCGGTCACGTTCCGCCTGATGACGGACAAGCTCAGAGTCGATCCCCGAGTGACCAGGTTCGTCCTGCCGATCGGCTGCAACATTAACATGGACGGGACGGCTCTGTTCGTCGCTGTCGCGAGCATATTCATCGCGCAGATGCACGGCATCGCTTTGGGCTTCGGCGAGATCGTCACCGTTATGTAAGCGGCTTACGCGACCCGATCGTTCGCTCTATCATTCCACCTCTATCAAAACCCGTTTATCGGAACCGAACGTTAACATTCTTCTCTCGCCCCCGAAGCTTAACGTCGACCGCCGCATCCGTGTCCTCGGCTTCGGTGCCGAGCGCCGCGCTGGTTCTACTGCTCGTCGTGCTCAGCGCCATCGACGCTCCCGTTTACAACGTGTCGCTCCTCTTCACCATCGACTGGTTCGTGTAAGTACACCGTAGTTCCATAGATCATCGGCGACGCTCGATAATTCGTCAATGTTAATCACCTCTACGCGCCGATACTCAGGGACCGCATTCGGACCACCAATAACATGCTGGGCGATTGCTACGCGGCCGCTGTCGTCGAGCAACTGTCGAAGAAGGAACTGATGGCATTGGACGCGGCAGCTTATCAGGTAGGATCGTCGAGGACAATCGACGTACCAGCCGGCAAAACGGAATAATCCACGCACGATTGTGTTTCTTTCAGTCGGAGACCGTTCTGCCGACCACGATCGCGAACGGATGCATTTCCGCCAATCGAGTACCTGACCCTGACACCATCGTAGTTGAGATGCAGGACGATTCGAGGATAGCCGGCATCGCCAAGTAAACAAGCTTGTTGGTAGGGCTAGGCTATCACTTTGTACGATCACGAACGATCGCGTGCATTCATCCTGGTTTACGCTGTGTCTTTGATTCCGCTTCGCTACCACGCTCCTCGCCCGGCGAGGAACCGCTCCGCTCCGCCTCGCGATCATACCGCGACGACGGTCCGTTCGATTCGTTGGCATTTATAAACGATTCATGGCAGGCTTCTTTCGTCGTTCCCGCGCCACGAGCCCGTCCGGCACTCTTCCGTTCGTTTTCCAAGGGAAATCGACGATCCTCGTCAATCGCATCGATCACGGACGGAAGAAGGTGAGTCGACGCGGCTCGCGTCTCGCGCTCTACCGTCCGCGGTCCGTGGTTCTCCGACGGGACTCGTAATCGTCCGGCGCCTTCGTTTGCGATTCGCGACGAGCAATCGCGCGGCTGACCCGCGGAGGCCGTAGATCACTGCGTCGCCTGACGCGCAAACAACCGATCAATCGCCGGCAAATGTACCGCGCCGCGAAAATGATTCACGCGAGAAACGGCCGGGCAGTTCGGCGCGCCGGCATTATGCAAATCCTTTGCGCAACGAGCGCGGAGGGCGCGCGGCACGATAAATCGAGCGTGGCATCGGGGAAAAGCGAGCGTATTTAATTCCGGGAGAGTAATGTTGCTTCTCGGCTGTCGTTTGTTTACACGCCACGGTCCAGCGAGTGAGGCTGCGTCGCTCGGAGGTAGATAACGATCTCTTTCTCTGTCTCGTCGACTTTTCCTGGGGACTCCGCAACGGCGGCCGGCACTTCGCAACGGTCCCGAATCAATTTATAGATCGCACGCACACCTATCGAACGACACGAAGCACGCCCGAACCGAATCGCTTCTAAGATCGCAGCCTTGTTTGTCTGCCCGCGCGATTAGACTAGGCGCCTGCTCGTTCCCGGCGATCGTAGAGAGATATCATAATCCGGCAGTGATTTCGTCGATCGTCATCGCCGCCGTCACCACCGGTCATTGCCATCATCACGATCTCATCGCCATCCGCAAGTCTCTCTCTCTGTCATCCGCTTGTTAAAGTGCCGCTGCGAATCGACGCAGGATCGTACGAGACGTCCCCTGAAATCTGTTGTTTCGTTTCAGCATCAGCGTGTTGCAGATGCCCAGGAGCGTCACGGAGGAGACCGTTTGACCGCTGATTCGTCCCGAGATTAGTTCGAAACGTGCCCGAGCGAATTGTTAACGAACGCACACTTTCATCTCGGGAAAGTTCGACGAACGACGCGCGTTCACGCGTGAACACTAGACGAACTAACGCGATGCCGCGAGTGTCCGCAAGAAACATTCCCCGATTGCGACGATCCGCGAGCCGCGCGAGACCGTTCGTTCCCGGGTTGGGTCAGCGCGTTCAGTTCTATATATATATATATATATATATACATATATATACCTGTACACATGCCACGAGACAAAGGGAAAACAATTTACGAAAGAAAACCAAGTCAATATCGAGGAGTGCGCCACACGAGACTATACTATATTAAGGACATAGCAATAACGATACTGTTTACGAAGCTTCTGTAGTAGCTTTCTCGAACGGATAACGTAAACCGAGAGATCACCGATTCAATCGCACTCCTGGATTCGAACGGTACAAAATCGTTTCCGCGACTGGCCGCGCGAGCAGCAGAATCTGGTGCCTTATTTTCACACGGCGTTCAATCAGCCGTTTCGAAAGTCGATTAAACAAAGATGAAAAATACAAAAATGCAAAAAAAAGAGCAAGGAAGAAAGATAGAAAGAAAGAAAGAAAGAAAGAAGGAGAGAAAAGGTAATAAGAAAATCTAAGAGAACATTCTTTTCATTTATCCGGAGTTAGGGGAAACATTTAGCTCATTGACTGAAGAAACACTGTCTGGTGATCGATCGTTTTACTGCCACGAAACACTTTTCCACTTGATACGTAAACAAATCCGAGCGTCGACTAGCGTTCACGATACGCCGGGCGACCGCCGACGACCACGATCGTTTCGCGACGCTAGATCGATGATACGAGAACATGTCCCAAGATGTCTTCGGCGATAGTTTTGTTCTGTATTTCGTTTCGTAGCCGGGACGCGTAGATTTAGTAAACCTCGCGAGCCCCGGAGCCGATTATCGCGAGCCGCGACACTAGTCGCGTGGGCGAGGAATTAGTTTTCGGTTAGGTTCGACGCGTGCGAACGCCGTTCGAACGTTTGCTACACACCGTAGGCGAAGAGAACGTTCGAGAGAAACCGTAGGTTTACGTTAGATCTCGACTGTAAAACACTGAATTTCAACTTTCGGACCATTCACAGACTACATGAGACTGGTGCACGGAAACCGCGCGCCGCGCGACTCTGCCTCCGTGCGCCGTTTTACGATTTAGTGTTCCCCGTCTAGGGTAATTCGAATATACCGGAGGCGACACGGTATTCACCGGTGGTCTCGTAGATCATAGAAGGAAAGAGAGGATCATCTAGCGCTCTTCGACGAGCAGCCTCAAGACTGGACATGCCATTTGAATATGTCGTTTTAATAAATACCACATACTACAAGGAGTAAAAGAAAAAAAAAGAGAAAAGAAACGTAGGAAAGTTACCAGGTGAATTTCACTAATTCTAGGGCACTAGGTACGTAGGTCGATACGTGTTCTACCGTAGAGACTGTTTAAATGTACAAATTAACTGGGTAACAATAGTGCTTCGTAGTTCGTGTCGTTCAAGCAAACTGATCCGCGGGATGATTCGCGATGCCCGAGCGAGTTGTTTCCGTTCGACATGGGGACACGACGATCCAGCCCTCGATCGTTTCGTCGTCGTTCAGTCGTTGCGCCCGCAACCGAACCAACCAGCCGCCGCCAACCGTCGATGTATCTCCGACTGTGAGCCAGACACATACCTTCGCGCGATACCAACCTTTTATTTGACCGTTGAACAGTGAATGGGAAAGTGCTTTGTTTATAGCCTACAGACTGGGAGCGGTTAATAGAGAAAGAATTTATCGAACTACTTCGAAGACTACGTGTGAATATACTTATAAGGCTCAACGTGTTGTATAACAAGATGCAGGTTTATACGGGACCACGCTTTCTTCTTTTATTCCCTCCCTTCTGCCCCCCGCCGTCCTCCTTCCTCCGTTCGGCGGTTCGCCGGTTCCCGGACACGCGACGGTTGTGAAATAAAGGGATCTCGTAACACGGTTTCCTAAAAAATTCATTTATTTAAGATCCACCGTCGCGCGGATCCTCGGCTCACAGGAGAGTCTTTGTACAAAGAGTTTGTCTGTCTTTTTTTTTATACAAAATATGACAAATATCTATTCTCTAGCGTTTACGCGCGTGTACCTGGCGTACGCGTCGTCCGCCGTTACATCGAGATTCCGCTCGGCGGACGGACGCGGCGCGGAAAAGAGAGTTAAATGAGAAGTGATCCAAAGGATCGCGTCCGGTGACGCGCTGCCACGAATTCCAGAGTAATCAGTCCGCTCGTGGCGACGCCATTTCGGACGCGACGACGACCCGCCATGCTCGCGAAAACGTTTCGCCGAGCGGTTCGACCGACTCGCCTCGGTCCCTAGTGTTAATGATAAACAAACAGAAAAAAAAGACGAAAAAAAAAGACGTCGTCGCGTGTCATCTGTACAGTCCGCGCGTTTCGACGGGCATGGCGTGAGCGTCGACTTCGTTCGCGTAAAGGGGCAGTCTATCGTTTTGATTATAAGGCGAAAAATCGTGAACTCTTCTTCGTCCGTTCGTTAGAGTATTATTTACACGGTCACTTACCGGCTACGCGCTCGCGTTCGCGACTCCTATTTACAAGGATTCGAGTATTCGTTCGGCTATCGATCGACCAACGATCGAGAAGGCAAGTAACAGTCGTATCGTACAAAATAAAGAGAGAGGGAGAGAAAGAGAGAGAGAGAGAGTGAGAGAGAAAGGATTGGGGGACGTAATAATGTTAACTTACAGGAATCAACGCGCGATCGCCTCCTGTTCGCATCGTCGATGCGTATCGTAAGTACACTCCACCGCGTCAAGTACCTTGCATAGCGCGAGAACACGAGAATTATCTACAAATGAAAATTAATACACGCGAAGAGGAGGCGCTCGCTTATCACGTGGGACGAGGGGGCGTAGAAAATTTGCACCTTGGCGCCCTCGAGGTCTCCCCCGAAGGTTAGTCAACTTAAAGTCACTAATTTATACACATCGCGCACCTGGATCAGACGATCAGTCCTCGAGTTCTACACTAAAACACTTCTCTCCTTCCGGCGATCCGTCAATCCGATTCGGATCCCCTCGTCGCCGGCCTAGAACTCATTTCCGGCCCCGACGTCGAAGTATCACGCGACTAATACTAATACGCGACGCGACGATTGTCCAGCGAGGATCCTCAGATCCTGAGTTCCGCGTCGGTAACAGGAATTCCTCTATTGGCACTTTGACTGGACCTTTGCGTGGCGGGCGGCACCAAAGGACTGATGCTAGGACTTCTAGTGGCGAGCGGCGACAGGGACGGCGAGAAACTCGGGCTGAGGGCGGCGGAAGGGAACGTTGACGCGTCGTGACTGATCGGTGACCGCGGGAGGATGCCCCTGGCCAGCGCCGGGGCCGCCAATGATCTAGGAGCAACGGAGGTGAGCAAAGGAGGGGGCGGAGCTTTATGTACAGACTTGGTTTTCCCGCTGCTGCCCGAGTTTCCGCTCTGCACGCTGGCCGCGTCGTCCTTTAGCCTGGCGATTTCGCTAAATACGTGGGCGAGCGGTTGATAGTGAGGACCCCAGTCCAAGAGGTAGTCCCAGTTGTACGATCCCGTGAGCTCCTCCTCGCTGTGCACGATCGAGCTCAGGGAACCGTTCATGGACGGGCCGCCGGGCACCTCCAAGCCCGACATCGGTCTCCCCGGCTCGCCGATTTTCCCGTAGATCAACGTGGCGATGTCGGCCTCGGTGGCGGCCTCGTCCTCGAACAGGTGCAAGCTGTTCAGGGGCAGCGCCTCCGGAGGTCGCCTCGGCGTGCCGGCCGGCGGGTCGACGATACCTAACCTGGCTAAGTATTCCTGAGTATTGTGAACCGACAGGTCGCTCGCGGAGTCCCCGGTCTGCTGGCCTTCGTTGATCATTCGGATCTCCTCGTCCTCGCCGTCGTCCTCGGCGGAGCCGCGGCCGGACGAGCCGGACTGGTCGCTGCCGGACAATTCGGAGGTGGCCTGTTGCTGTCCGGACTGGCCGGAAGTACCGTACGGCGGTATCTCGTCGTACTTCGGAGGCGCGAACTGACAGGAGGCAGCGCCGCCACCCCCGTTACCGTTCCCGGATCCCCCGTTCCCTGCCGTACCGACGCCGGCCACGCTTCTGATCGGAATGGTGTCGAAAGCGCTCGGGTCGACGTAACTGTTCGACGCGGTGGCGTTGCTCTCCCCGTTCAGGCCCGGCTTCGTGCCCGGTTTCTTGTGCCTTCGGTTCCGCAGGTGAAGGTACAGGAAAACGGCCCCGAAAGCGACCACCAGCAGCAGCAGCGCGATCAGCAAGCCTAGAGCCCAATCCGCCAGGCCTCCCGTCGCGGCCACGGCCATGTTGGAGCCTACGTCGGTCGGAGTGGACAACGCGGTGTCGTCGGTCAACGTGATCTCCACCACCGTCATGTTAGACAGCGAACCTTGCCTGCCGGAACTGGCGCTGACCACCAGCCTCGAGGACTCCTCGACGTCCATGTCGATGTGCAGCAGCTTCTGTTTCACGATCAACGCTCCCGTGGTGCGGTTCAGCTTGAAGTACGGGTGCTGGGACGTCAGCTGGTAGACCAGCCTGCCGTCCGGACCTTTGTCGCGGTCCGTCGCGGTCACCTGACCGATCACAGTCCCAGGCAGCACCTGAGCCCCGCTCTTGATGCCGAACCTGTACATCCTCTCGGTGAATTGCGGATAGAACTCGTCCCTGGACTCGATCTCCACTCTAACCGGAACGGCGGCGGTCCTTCCGCCCGCGTCCGTCGCGCGCAGAGTGAAGGCGTACCGGTTCAGCATCTCGTAGTCGAACACGGCTCGCGTGGTCACCGTGCCGGACTTGCCGTCCACCGCGAACAGCTTCCAGCTGTCGTCGATTTCGGAGAAACCGGTCGCCGCGGCGGACACGATCGAGTAGTTAAGGGAACCGAAGATACCGCGGTCCAAGTCCGAGGCGCGGGCGGAGAAGACGGTCGTGCCGATCGGCTCGTTCTCGCCGACGAACTCTAGGTACTCCGAAACCGGGAATTTCGGGGAATTGTCGTTGACGTCCTCCAGACGGATCCTCAACCTCGCCAGCGCGCACAGCGGAGAGACCGGGTCGCTGTCGCACGCCATCACCACCAGGTTGTAGATCTCCGGCTCGAGGTCGCAGTCCAGGGTCGCGTTCACCAGGACCGCGCCGGTGCTCTTCTCCACGCGGAACAGACCGGCGTCGTTTCCGGATGTGATTTCGTATACTAGAGTGGCCGCCGGGCTCCCGGCCAAATCGTCGTCCTTCGCTCGCAGAGTGGCCACGATGGTGCCGCGGCCAGCGTTCTCCTTGATGGACACCTGGTGCAGCTCCTCCAAGAAACGCGGGTAATTGTCGTTCACGTCTTCCACCGTGATGATCACCGTTACGGGCTCGTCTCCTACCAGCGAGCCGATCGTCATGTTCTCGTTCTTGGAGCCTAGCCGCAAAACGTACCTGGAACGATGCACGTGGTTGTTAGCACAAAACGACGATCGTCGCTATTTTTCTATTAGAGAATATCGAATGAATCCCGAGTAAACGATAATACTCGGCGTACTCACTTGTCTTTCGTCTCTCTGTCGAGCACCTTGGAGAGTATCAACTTTCCTCTGGACACTTCGAACGTCCCGCTGTCGTCGCCAGCAACGATGCTGCCGTCCAACAGGTCCACGTCGGACAGTCTCATCAGCGTGGTGCCCCTCGACGAATTTTCCTTCACCGTTATCTTGTACTCCTTGCCTGGCAGGGTGCTCTTCAGGCTGCTCAGTCGCACCACGACCGAGCAGACGGCCGACGCCGGTGGTTTGCCGTAATCCTCCGCGACGACCGCCAGCTCCACCTCTTTGGGCAGCGGCCTCGGTATCGCGGTGCGATTAACTGTCAGAACACCGGTCACCGGATGCACCGAGAAGCCCTTGGTAGCTTTCAGCAGATAATAGCGGATCCGGCTGTTGTCCTCGGTGAGGTCGTCGTCGGTCGCGTTCACCGTCAAGACTTCCTGCAGGTCGCCGCGTCCCTCTGCGCAACAGAGAAAAAAGGGGGGCGTGAGAAAGACACGAGGATAAGGTCATCCGCTTCGAGCGAGTCGCGTTCGGAATTGGATCTCGGGGTGGAGCGGTGCTAGCGCGGGGGCGAGAGACGGGGTGCGCGCGAGATTGATCGTCGGTTCGCGAGAGGCGCGAACGCGTACTCGAAAAGGGCCCGGGACAAAGATCGAGGGATCACTGGCGCGAGGTCAAGTACCCTCTGCCTCTTTTTGCCGGTGGTACGTCCTCGAGCTGGTGGTGGTGGCGGTGCCGGTGCCGGTGCTGCTGCCACCACCTCCAGTTCTTTCTTTTCTCGGTAAAGGAGGAGGATAAGCCGTCCTGACATCGGGCTGAACGGAAGTATGAAATAATAACCAGTTGTATAAATCGCTCGGCGAGCCGAGCCGTGGGGCCAGCTCCGCTCCACCGTACAAAAATCATTTCGATGCGTTTCAAATCGTCGGATAACTCGGCATTAATGTGCCAAGCCCCGTCCCAAAGCGGGAAGAGGGACGAGGACGGCCGATCGGACGGAACGGAGAAAGCGGCGAGGGTGAGCTCGAGGTGGTGGCGGGGACGGGAACGCCGGTGGAACGAGGGGGGCGGAGGGGAGGAGAGAGAGAGTGGCTGAAATAAAACTTCAACGGACTCGCGCAGCCCTTTGGGGATGTCCGAGGTGAGGAGGCAGGAAGACCACGGAGAAGGAAGGGAGGATCTTAACCGAGAAGCGACAGGTACTCTATAATTATTGCGAGGTGCGTATGACCGTGGAGTATGCGTGTTCGCGTCACGATGCCTCAGTGGGACGAATTCTTATTACCGGCAGCGAACCTCGCCGAGATTTCTACCTTTTCTTCATTAATCCCTCCTCCATTACGGAACGTACCCTCGGCCGTCCCCTGGGCCCACCGTACCGCGCCGCGCCCCGGCCTCCCCCGGGACACCTTAATACGATTTTGATAATCACCGGATTAACTCGTCTTCCTTGTTCGCTGATCGCGAAATAAACGATCCGCCCTTCTCGCCAAAAAGGAATTGAAAACGCTGAACCGGATAAGAATTAAGGCCGCCCCGGCCTCCGCCGTTACCTCCGCCGTTACCTCCGCCGGTTATCGATCAATTACACCGCTCCGAGATATTTTCCCCGATTCCCCAAAACGTTTCTCGTTCCACGCCGGTCCGTTCCTTCCCACCCCTCCCTTCCTCCCTGCCGGGCCCGTTTTCGCGATTCCACGTTACCGACGGGGGCCGCAGAACCGAAGGCGAACGGAACAGAAGACGAAGATGCAAATTCGCGAGGCCGCGCGCGGCCGTCGCCGTGGGA